ATCCTCACCAACACATGTCATTTGTTGACTTTTTGATAATACCCATTATGAATAGAATGAGGTGGTATCTCATTATAGTTTTGAGTTCCCTGATTAGTAATGTTGAGTATCTTTTCATATGTCTGTTGGTCATTTGTATGACTTCTTTAGAGAAATGTCTTTTCATCTCCTCTGCCCATTTTTTTATTGGATTATTTATTTTTTTGTTATTGAGTTGTATGAATTTATTACACTTTTTGGATATCGACCCTTTATCAGATATATCATTTGTGAATACAGTCTCCCATTTAGTAGGTTGTCTTTTCATTTTGTCAAAGGTTTCCTTCACTGTACAGAAGCTTTTTCTTTTCATGAAGTCCATTTGTTTATTTTTGCTTGTTCCCCTTGCTTGGGTGGACATATCCAAAAAAATGTTACTCAGACTGAAGTCAAATAGTTTACTTCTTAGGTTTCCTTCTAGGAGTCTTATTGTTTCAGGCCTTACATTTAAGTCCTTAGCCCATTTTGAGTTTATTTTTGTATATGGTGTAAGAGTGTGTCCAGTTTTATCTTATTTTTTTTGCATTATCTGTCCAGTTTTCCCAACACCACTTGATGAGATTGTATATCCATTGTATATTTTTACCTCCTTTGTCATAAATTAGTTGGCCATATAAGCAAGGGTTCATTTCCAGGCTATTTTGTTCCAGTGATCTACGTGTCTGTTTTTGTGTCATCACCATACTGTTTTGATTACTATAGCCTTGTAGTATAGTTTTGAGTTCAGGGAGCATGATAACTCTAGCTTTCTTCTTCTTTCCCAATAATGCTTTGGCTATTTGGGTTTTTTTGTGCTTCCATACAAGTTTTAGAATTATTTGTTCTTGTTTAAGAAGAATGACATTGTTATTTTGATGAAAATTGCATTGAATCTATAGATTACTTTGGGTAATATGGTCATTTTAACAATATTAATCCTTCCAATCCATGAGTATAGTATATCCTTCCATTTATTTGTATCCTCTTCAATTTCTTTCTTCAAAGTCTTATAGTTTTCATAGTGCAGGTCTTTTAACTCGGTTAAATTTATTCCTAGGTATTTTATTCTTGATGCAATTGTAAATGGGATTTTCTCTTTCTGATACTTCATTGTCGGTGTATAAAACTGCAACTGATTTTTTAATATTAATTTTGTATCCTGCTACTTGACTGAATTATTCGATTAATTCTATTAATTTTTTGGTGTATTCTTTAGTGTCTTCCATATATATTATCATGTCATCTGCAAGTAGTAACAGTTTTACTTCTTCCTTTCCAATTCAGATGCCTTTTCTTTTTCTTGCCTGATTGCTGTGGCTAGAATTCCAGTGCTATATTGAATAGTAGCAATGAGAGAGGGCAACCCTTCCTTGTTCTTGATCTTAGAGGAAAAGCTTTCAGCTTTTCACCATTGAGTATATTAGCTGTGGGCTTATTATATATAGCTTTTGTCAAGTTGAGGTAAGTTCCTTCTATACCCACTTTGTTTAGAGTTTTTACCAGAAATGGATATTGAATTTTGTCAAATGCTTTCTCTGTCGATTGAGTTAATCACAATTTTACCCTTGCTCTTGTTGATGTGATGAACCACATTGTTTTGTAAATGTTCAACCACCTTTGATCAAGTGGTATAAATCCCACTTGATCATGGTGCATAATCCTTTTAATGTACTGTTGAATTCGGTTTGCTGTATTTTGATGAGAATTTTGGCATCTATGCTCATCAAGGATGTTGTCCTGTAGTTCTTTTTTTGTAGTTTCTTTGTCTAGTTTTGGTATAAGGGTAATGCTGGCCTCATTGAATGAGTTTGGAAGCATTCCTTCCTCTTCAATTATTTGGAATAGTTTGAGGATAGGTACTAATTCTTTAATGTTTGGTAGAATTCACCTGTGAATCTGTCTGGTCCTGAGGTTTTGTTTGTTGGGAGTTTGTTAAAATGTTCGCTCAAAAAAAAAAAAGAAAAAAAAAAAAAAAAAAAGCTCAATTCCATATACCCTGCCCCTTCTATTTTTTTGTTGCAAACACAGCCAAACTTCTTGAAGATTATAACATTTCCTCCATTTCCTCCACTTTCTTCCTCCAAATTATTCCTCAATTCCCTGACACCCAGGGTTTCTGATCTCACCTGTCCAATGGAACAGCTCCCATTGTTGCCAAATCTAATGAACACTCTTCATTCTTTATGTCATCACTCCTCAGCAGCATTCCACACTGCACCCTTCCTTCTTCCCTTGGCTCTCATTGCACACTTCGCTAGGTTTTATCCTGTCCTCTGCTTCCTCTTTC